AAAGATTCAATTTGCACACGGTTATACAGACTGCAGAAAATAGCGCCAGCATAAGTTAATTCGAGCTCTCTGGGAATTTAGAGAGCATTAGACTTTAAATTGTTCTGTAGCTTCCATTCCATAAAAGCTTCCCTAAATTGTATTTCAAATGAAAAAGGGTCGCAAAATACTGGGAATAAATTTCAGTTAATTTCATTTCAGATTGCTTTTACTATATTTTATTGTATTTCTACATAACACAACAAAAAGTGCTACTTAATATTCCATAGTGTTTACTGCTGAATTCTTTAAAAATAAATCAAAAATGACTACAGTTTAATAATATTCTCATTAGCATAGAGAGAGCAATTAATATTTCTCCAGGGCTTCATTTGCAGCTTTGTTTACATACAAACATTTACTGTATATATAAAAAAATTTAAGTTAAATTTTTTCATTGCAGTGGCCCCTCGGCAGGAAATGTCAACCCCTCCGAGTGCATTTCTGACATGAAATAAAGCTCCTCATAAGAAAACCATCAGCCGTCCGGAGGCGGCTTAGTATATACTGTAAGTCCTCCATTTGTTGGAAAACAAAAACTAGACGCAAAACCACAAATTGGAAGAGGAGCTCCGCCGAAAATCGCTTAAGCGTTTGTAATGCACTAACTAACAAGCGGTTATGTACAACCACCGAGTATCTAAGCAATTTGTAATTGTCGCCGCGGCATGTCATTAATTTGATTTTATTGCTGTCATTTCTGTCATGAATCATGTTATTTAATTGTGTAAAAATGACATGCGACCAACTGCGATTAAATCAATCAAAGATTTAATTAAAAGTTTTAGTTAAGTTGCCAATAGATAATAGATAATTAGCATTACTTTAACATTCATACATACATATGTATAATGTCATCACGCCACATTTAATGAGCATATAGTTTCCTTAGTTAATTATAGTTTTTTATGGTAGAGTCAAACTTCTGAACATCATTAATTATGTTGTCTTCTATTTAAATTTTATCACAGCTCCATTCTAAAGAGTCAGAGTCTCTTTCTCGTGTATTTCTTCCTCAATATTCTTCACGAACGTGCTACATCATTATTATAATGTCGCACGGGACAGTGGTATTCTCTCAAACGGGAAAAAATGTGATAATATTTTGTATTAACAAAACTCGATAGTTTCAACGGAAATCATTCATTCTTTTTGCTTAATCCCAGACTCTTATTAAAAAATATTTTCGCTCTCAAGAGAATTTTTACGATCAAAAAAAATGTGTACAAAAATTCCGTCTCTCAACAATTTTTAAATGTAATTTCTGATAATATCCTGTGTACACAAATAAATCAAATAAAAAGTTTTCATTGAATTTTTTATCCTGCCACCTAAAGTAAATACTCGTACATATCACTTTTTAATTTCTTCATATATATTTTACTCATTATACCTTTAGAAAACCTAAAGACATCAAGATTCCTTTCCTTTCTTTAATTGCATTTCTTTAAAAAGTCATGTCATATATTTAAAAATTCCAAATCTCATATTTTCCACTAATATCCTGAGGTAGATCTTGAATAAATGTAATTTTTGTTTTATTATTTAGATTTATTCATTTACGATTGGTTCTCTTTAAAAAAAAAATAGAGAGAATAACTTGTCCGCCCTCAGAGCGAAGCTAAGAAATTGTGTATCACTATATATATATATATGTATATACTAGCTTGTCCTGTGCCAAAATGCTTCATTTAGATAAGCAATGGAATTGTAATCACTAAATCACATTAACACTTGTTTTCGAATTTCCCAAGAAGAAGAAACAAATAACTGAAAATTACTGTTAAGAAATAGCATGTGAGACCGCTTGCGCACCTCCTTGGAAACTTTTTCGGCAGTCCCATTAGCTTTTAAACACCATCAGCGTCATCTTTGCACCACTTTCGCAATCCCTTTTTGTTTCTTTTTGTTTTTGCTTTTGGAATGTAATTTAGCAGATTTAGATGCACGACAACTGATTAGACATTTGTGTGCGAAAGCGTTCTTCTACACGTTGCTTCGCTGATTGTTTTCATGATTTCGCATAAAAGGATTAAGGCGATTTCATTATCCTTCGTGCGCGTTTGTTTGACTACTATTTTGTGAAAAGCCACGCGAGTAGGCGGTAGCTGGCGTTTTGCTTTGCTTTTAGCACTTTCATTCTTTTTTTTAAACAGTTAGTTTTTCTCAGTCTCTAGTATCAATGTTATCTATGGGTGGGAGTTTATTTTTTATTCCTTTGGTTTTGAAATATTTTTTTGTTTTGCCATTAATCCTTGGATTAGTAGACGATTTAAATGGATTATAGTGCAATTTTGATTTGGTGTCTGCTGGGGATATCGCCAGTTGGCAGATGGCTTATTCCTTGATTCCATTTAATTCCCGTAAGACATTTTCATAAAACTTCACGTGTATATACATGTATGTGTATATCTCATAAAACTTTAATTGCTAAAAGCGACAATTCTGGGCGTTTCACGTTATCAGGTGTACAAAAAACAGGGTACAAGTAAGAAAGGTGCAAAAGTAATTTCTTCACGACGAAGTTTTCAACAAAAAACTGCAAAAAATTACATGAATTTTTTCAGAAATACATCATATCCATCATACCAAATAAAAAAAGAAACTATTATAAAATTAAACAAAAAAGGGTAAAATAACATTAAAATAAAATAAATTTAAATAAAGTCAAATAAAATAAAATAAATTAATATAAAATGAAATGAAATAAAATTAAATTAATAAAATAAATAAAACAATATATAATAAGAAAAAAATAAAATAAAATGAAATAAAATAAAATAAAATAAAATAAAATAAAATAAAATAAAATAAAATAAAATAAAATAAAATAAAATAAAATAAAATAAAATAAAAAAAGAATAAATCAAATTAAATTAAATTAATAAAATAAATAAAACAAAATAAAAAAAAATAAAATAATTGAAAATAATATAAAATATAACTAAAATAAAGTGGAACAAAAAAGAGAAAACAAATTAAAGTAACAAAAAAAAATTAAATAAAATAAGAAAAAAATAAATGAAAATAAAAATAATTAAAATAGAATTAAATAATATAAACTAAATTAAAACAGGATAAGAAAATAAACTATAGTAAAAAATAAAATAAGAGATTATAAAACACGCTCAAGATTAAATTATAAGATATAAATTATTCATGTAAAAGGAAGTAAACTTAAATAAAATAAAATATGGCAAAATAAAAAAAATTAAATAAATTAAAAAATCCAAATTAAATTGTGGGTGATTTTTTTTAGAGCTATAGCAAAGTTTTTCCATAAAGAAAAAATCATAAAAATGCATGAAATCTTTATTTGAATCAATGGTATGGTACATATAATTTAATGTTTGAAGATTACTTCATGCAAATGTTGACCGTGACCGCGCCTCAAATGGTCCATTCGCTTAGTCCAGTTTTGGGAAACTCTTTCCAACACTTCGGTCGGTATCTCACGAATAAATGCTTCAATGTTGTCCTCCAATGCGTCAATTGAAGCGGGCTTTTCTGTGTAGACATTAGATTTAACTTTGCCCCACAAAAAATAGTCTAAAGCCGTTAAATCGCAATTGAACGGTCCCGAACGTGAAATAAAATGTTCACCGAATTTGCCTCTCAATAACTTCTTTGTCATGCGTGCAGTGTGGCATGTAGCACCGTCTTGTTGGAACCACATGTCGTGCAAGTAAAGTTCTTGCATTTTGGGTGAAAAAAGTTTGATATAATCTCAAGGTAGCGTTCACCATTCACAGTTACCTTACGATTCGCATCATCCTTGAAGAGGTACGTTCCAATGATGCCACCAGCCAATAAACCGACCAACGCACTAACCTGTGACTTTCTGGATGCATTGGTAGCTCTTGCGATGCTTCTGGTTGATTTTCACTCTATAATCAACCGTTCTGCTTATTTACGCACCTATTAAGGGGTTACAAAGGTCTTGAAACATCACAAAATTTATTTTATTGATAATTTTTTGTATAAAAGTACAAAGTGTCAGGAATATTTTCCTCAAGGTTCAAGTCAATCGAGACGAAACTGTAGAAATTAGAAAGTTTTATAGCCTGCCGCGTTTTCTTAAAACCACTTTATCGAAATCGGTAGTCAAAACTTTTCAACGACTATTGAAGCGATCGAGTTCAAAATTTCCACACTTCTTTTAAGCAGGTTTTTGTAGTCCCTGAACGAAGGATTTAATTTATATTTGACTTCAACTCATTTTTCAAGCCAATATGTGACCTAATTTTATGCAAAAAAGATGTTTTTGTGAAAAAACGGTACAAAAAAAAAACAATTTTTATTTTTTTTTATTTTTTTTCGTTGAGGGACTAGGAAAATTCAGATACTTTAAGAAGAAATTTGGATTTGTGATTTCAGATAAAAATTAAAATAGTTATCATGTTTACCGCGAAAGCACTTTCTTGTGGACGGTCTCTTTCACGACACTGTCAACGCCTTAACTTTTTCTATTATTATTTATTAAAATTTTCATCAGTTGTTGTCCACATATTGTACCTTTATGTGTAAACAAAATAATACGTATACTTTATTTAGTATCTTTCAAAAAAAAAAAAAAAAATAGAGAGAATTAGCTTTTTTTGGCCTTCAAGACCTATGGAACCCCTTAGGCCAAAAATGAGGTTCGAAACGCGAGCGTTTTGTAAAAAAAAATTCAATAATTTGCAAGCGTTGTTTGTTTGTAAGACGATTCATGGTTAAATTACAGTCCAAACTGATGATGTTTGACAGTGACACAAAAGACGAAACGTGCGTCAGCTGTTTGACCCAGTGTTGCCAAAAAGGTAATGGCTAAAAACTCACCCTTTAAAAGGTAAAAACTAAAATAAAACAAAGGAAAAAGGATCCCGGGAGACAAATAACTGACGTTTTCTCAAAATAAGGCTTCTGGTTCCTAGCGTAACTGTTAGTTCCAAGCAAGTAAAAGCACTCACAACACTTACCTTCATGGCAATCATTACGATTCTTCAATCCCAATATGGCGTCTATTGTGTGGCGTGGCGTTAATGTTTGGCCACCCGTGCCAAATTTTCTAGAGGTGTCCTTCAATGTGAAATCAGCATCTGTAATATTAGATATAAAAAATAAGATATAAGTTTAAAAACTAACCTAAAGTGGTATGGAATATGAGAGATATTACTAAAGAGAATAAACTTAAGTACTTAGATTATTCTGAAATAACGTTCGCTTCAATATTCTTTTAAAATCATCAGCAAAGTAAGTAAAAAATTAGTGCACAATTTCACGAACTTACCTTGATGAGGTTTGATTATATTCAAAATTAAATGATTTTTTGTCAAATTAAAATTGGCTTAAGACCACGCAGAGAAAGAAGATAGAAGAAGAATTTTCATCAAAATTGCCTACTGTTCAGTTAAATTAATATATGACTTGGGCCACAAAGTACTAAATTAAATTTGTCACAAAAATCATTACAATAAAAACAAATTAAATGTAACAATATTTATAATTATAATACAACACATTTGCACTTAACTTGTTTACTTTCATATATTTAGAAAACATTCACACATACTCCCATCTCCAGGTATGGACAAGCAAACCGAAACTCAGTGCTGCTCTGCTCCGTCCCAGTGAAAGTCACTTGAATACAATTTCCATTAAATTAAAAAATCGGAATTACACAATTAAAATAATGAATGCAATTAAGTGCACGAGCCTGTCATAAATTTGTAAGCAATTTTTAATAGCATTAAAAGTATACGGCAACACCATCAACCTCACCTACACAGCAGCAATAACTGCATTTTAGTTTTCACCTCAAAGTAGACACACACACACGTACATGCGCCCAGTGTCATATGCGCCTAAACATATGTATATTTGTTCTGTTATGTGATTGTCAGTGGGTGGGTGGGGTTGATGGCGGTGCTGGTGCTGGTGCTGGTGGTGTTGGTGTTGGTGATGGCGTAGGATGTCATTTATTGGCGACATGTTTGTTTTTAACGAGGTAAACACGGTAATTACCGATCGTTTCGTGCGCCGAACTGCAAATCGCCACACGAATGCCAACAAATGTGATGCATACACACACACACATACATACATGCTTATAAACGCCGTTATGCATGTGTGTAGACAAATTTTACTAAGTGGATGTTCAGTAATGTGGAAGTGGGCGCGTGGGTCTGACTGACGGCTGACTGTTGCACTTTTATCGAAAACTAAAAATCACTTTTATGACAATTTGTCATGACAGGCAGGCAAGCAAGCGCTGCTTGTCACTGCAAAAACAAAAAAATTAATATGGCGGCCATTAGATATTGTTGTGTCATTGCTGTCAATATTTCTAACCCAGCAGTAAAATTTCTTATCAGACACGAAACAATTTTTTTTATTGTAAAATCGATGTTCTGCGTACCGTTATTTGAATTGTTTAAAAATTTTCAATAAGATTTTAAAATTGTATGTATCGCAAGTTACTCAACTGCCCACAACTAAAATGGGACGATATATGCACTAACAAAGGATTGAGGCTCGAGATTTCCACAAAAAAAAACATGAATAACTACGGGCGAGCATTATTTTTTTTTTTTACCAATTTGCATTTCGCTTACAAAAAATTTAATAATTTAAAAAAATTTCTTAGCGCTGTTAATTGATTGTGTATAGTTGGAGCATTAACAAATCAATATAAAGTATGTTTAAGGAGACTTAAAAAAAAAACAAGGAAAAAATAATCAAAAGCACTTTTTTAGAACAAAAATTTTCATGATATAAAACTAAAAAAATAAATAAATTTGGAGATTGATTTTTTACCGATTTTGCATATTAATGAGTACAATAACAGTCGATACAAAAATTGCAAGGCTGACTAATTATAGTCTGAGTTTGATGGATCATACCTTTACTGTTTTTTTTTATGTTCGATGGGTATAATTGCTGCAAAGAAATAATAAATGGCCAGCTATTTTTCGAAAAATCAACTAAGGTTCTCAACTAATCTGCAAAATGTATTTTTCAAAAATAAATATTACATTTAGCACCCTTAAAAAAATTGTATGACTGTAAGAAATATTTGGCAAAAAGAGTAAAAACAATAAAACTTGGCTTTTGAGATAAATATAATGCGCTTTACACATTGTTTTTTTTTTACTTTTCATAATTTTGTAATAAAACAAAAAGTTATATGAATTTTTAAAGCTAAATATTGGGCACTACTATTTGAAAACGGACCAGTTTTTTTTGTAAAAGTTGAGCCCTCTAAGTTCACCACTGAGCTTTGAGTGCATACAACCTCCTCGCTCTCAAATCGTTAGCCGGCTCTGCCTTGTTGCATTTATGTACGATTATGTATGCCTACGGATTTGTGAGCGTGTTTAAATTGTTAATTATTGACCTAAATTGTTGGTAAATATGTAAAGGACTAAGCGCTGCAGCTGCAGCTGCGCTGCTGATTACAATGAAAACAAAAATTCCGCTAAAAGTGGAAATAATATTATAGAATTAACACACATATGCACTTATGTATATGTAAATGACTATGCCAACAGAAAAACAGTAGAAATAAATGAAGGCCAAACAATTTTCTAATTAAAAAATTTTTCAAAATAGGCAGGCATTTTATTTGCTCAAACATTATCGTTAATATAATGTACTTTTCTTGAAAAGGAACGCCAACTAGACTGCTGAAAATGTCTGTACACTCTTACACACATATTAACATATGAAAGTTTTTTAATTTTTTTATATTTGTCGTCATCGCGTAATTTGCATTCAATTAGGGTTGCAGGTACGCAAAATGCATTTGGCTATTTTCGCACAAGATTTTATTTATTTTTTTCTTCAACTGATATTTTTTGCTCATGCAAAGCCCATGGAGAGAGCGCGCGTGCTTACCACACATTTGCTTTAATTAAATCAGACTGATTTTATGACTACAATTATTGTTGTAGTTTGTTTATTTGTATTGAAAATGTCATAGCCTATGAAAAGTGGACATTAGTTTGTACTCTGTATATATTGAAATGTTTTATAAAATGGCATTTTGATGGTAAAGTAAGTCAAATGTGGCCTAGATTTCTTTTCGGTCTGTATCTCTCGGTCTATACGTGCAATTGGATTAAGCTAATTGGCATTAGAAAGATGAAATTTTGTACTGAAAAAGGCTTCTGCAGAAATGTTTATCCTTTAGCTCAGAAATGAACTATATTCTACGATTTTAGTCAGGCAGCTGAGAATGTGGATCCATATATTTTAACACTCATTTGTCGAAACTGTCCACAAATAAGGAAAACGGTCGGATGTGGCCATCATGCGAGCACTGTTGCGATTGCACAGGACTTGACAAAGACTGCATACACAAAGAAGCTCTATGTATGGGTTTTACATGGATTAACGAGGAAAAAAAGTAGATCACTTATGACACCGTTAATTCAAAACAGACGTGGTTGAAGGGCAGCCAAACTCTTACTTCGGACCTGTACTGTCAGCAATTGAACTGTCTGAAGAAAGAAATTGCGCAGGAGAGTCCAGGTTTGGTCAACAGTAGAAGGAATAATTTTTTAACAGGTCAGTGCCGGACTACACTCACACGGATATCGACACGCCATCAGCTCCGAGAGCTTGGTTGTTAGATTCTTACACATCCATCTCATAGGGACAAGGGTGTATACGAGAGAGGCGTAATGATGAGGATAATAACTATAGGCAAGAGCCTAAAATTGTGGAAAAATTCACAAAGCTCGCATGAACATTGCCAGGATCCTTACTCGCGTATAATTCCTCTTTTGGAGAATGCTTTTGTGTGTTAATAAAATCCTCTCGACTTTCTATTTCATCTAATAAAATTCGTCCTCTTTTCTACTCAAACTAAAGATGAATTTTAAGCACTTTTTTCTACTCAGCGTGTACTCCTGAGCAACTCCAAATGGAACTATTTGCCTGCGGTGAGATAAAAAAGTGCCGATACGATGAGAATTAACTCGTTCCGAAGAGAAAGAAGGTTAATTTCCAGTGTTGCCGAGTAAAGTGCAACGCATTGGCAGATAGTAAAAAAGTGAAGTCGACGTGAGCATGCTTTTAAAGAGCTGGAATACGAGGTGTGACAATTAAGTAATGAGACTGATATCAAAAAAAAAGTTTATGTCAAAATTATTCTACAACTCTGGCATCCTACTCAAAGTAGTCTCCTTAGGCAGCTATACAACGATTCCAGTGCGTTTTCCATGCTTCGTAATATTTCTGGAACGCTTCGACCAGGATGTCAAGGGCGCCTGGATGACCTCAATTAACTCAAAATGATTTCCTTTGACAACCGATTTAGTTCTAGAGAACAAGAAAAGTAAAACACAGCTATCCCTTTAAAGGCCAAATACTGGGACATGCGGATGACGGTGTGGCACGGCAAGTTGTCGAGATGAAGGATCCAGTTATGAACGATGTCTAGGCGCACCCTGTTGGCTCGTTTTTTACAATCTTTCGAGTGCTTCACGATAGTAGTTTTGGTTTAGGGTTTTCCCCTGGTGGAAGAATTTCTTCGTGGACGATTCCACGCACCTGGACGGGTCTCCCGCTCCGCGGCTCATCTCCCACGCTTTCACGCCCCTTCTTAGACTTTTTATGCCTTCGAAACACCTAGCTAGAGCGGTGCCATATATATCAAAGGAGAGGAAAACGATGCCGAGAGAAGATAAAGGGAATTTCAATTCAGCAGGGTTACCACAATCGCGGCAATATAATCAGTCTCATTACGTTATTGTCATACTTCGAAGCTGGTCAAGTAATGCATATACTTGTAGGAGCTAAAAAGGTGCTAGCAGCTAATGCCCAGAGCGTGTGGTATTTACGGAGTGAACCTCCAGCGTAATGGAGGGCAGCGAAAATGAAACACCACAAGATAATGAATCCGATTCTTCATTAGGTGACGATGGCATAGACGTTACAAATCTGACTTTGAAAAATTCCGAATTGCACGAATAGGAACTGCTCTTATGCTGCTATGTCTAAGTTTGGTATCCTCGCAAAACTTATACGACTATGCCAAACTGACGCTGAGCAAAACGAAAAGCTCTTTCAGGAGCCGAGGCGCTCAATACTAAACGAGGTTTGAGTCAGGGTGATTCTTTATCGTGTGACTTCTTTGATTTAATGCTGGAGAAAAATGAAACGGTACAATCTTCTATGAGACCGTACAATTGCTATATGTCGACCATATTGATATACGTACCGTTACTTCTACATTCTCTAAACTAGACAATAAGTCTGGTAGTTAGGGAGGATATGACGAAGCATCTTCGCACTCTTTCATCACTATTCGTAGTCATAACTTCGACTGTTTCAGAACAAGTATGAACAACAAGATCCAGCCCGACTTTGAAGTCCAATCACTCTTGCCAACAGGTGCCACTTTGGACTGAATATGAAATTATTAAGTAAAGTCCTCCCTTGACGAACAAATGCCGTAATTCTCATTCAGATATTTGATGCATAAATGTGAGCAATGGCAAAATCCCGTTGAATTGGTATTAGGAATTTCAAAGAGAAAATTTGGTGGAAAATTTATAGTTTTTTGTGCGGGGACAGGTGAACTCAGAGAGTCGTCTTGCTGGCTGGTGAAAGCAGGGAAAGTGGAAGATTTGCTGTTTCGTTGTTAGGATCAAGGGAAGAGCCAACTGGTTTCACTTGATGTGAGAAAAATATTTGCATGAAAGATTTAAAATTTTGGTTTGCTGCTCGAACTGGGGACACGCAAAAATTTAGACAAACATTTTAGCAGTTGAGTATTGAACAAGTATAGGCGACTCGCACTGCTCGATACGGATGTATTTAGAACTCCGCTCGCTCTATAGTATATTGTGATACTATGGACTGCCTTGAGCCTGTGACCGAGCGCGGTTACACTTGCTTCTTTCACTGAACATCTGCAGGTCGTTCATCAGTTGCCATAAATTTCATGAAAAAAACATAAGGAAATGATTTAATGCTCCAAGTAAGTAGTTTTTATCACTGAAAAATTAATCGGAGGAATAATCGCTGCCGAAAGAGTATCAAAAAGAATGGGTTTCGATTACCGACCTCTTGCAATTCTATATGACCTCAGAATTTACTACCATAAAGCTTTTCTCATAGAATCCATTCCTCCAATTATAGTTTTTGCTTTCTTAAAATTGACTATCCAATGTGATTTACTTCATAGAGAGTTCTCACAAGGCTACTTCTAATCGAGGATATCAACTCGGGATGATAAAACTCGTTTGGCTCTCCGAGTTTGTAGTGCCGATATCCCTCCCAACAACAAATTTAAGCAACTTTCATTTGTTTCGGAACAAATTTGATCACATTATGTTTTTAACAAAAGTAATCACGGTGGACTTTTTGTGGAATTACAAAATATTTTAGATATTATATATTTGACGTTTTATGACATTATACAGAAAGGCACATAAAGGTTTGAGAATTTCTTGCAAATCACATTTCGAAATTTTTTTTTAATAATTTTTTTTTTTAGTTTTTACTTTAGTAACAGTGATTTTTACATCTATAAAGCCATCTGCCCCTTTTGTTGAAGACTCGTACTTAAATCTAGAAAATTATTAAAACCGAAAACACTTTCAATACCTTCGGAAATCACCGTATTATTATTGCCGCCGCTTAAGAAATTCTGTTCAAATTGCTCCAAATTTTTAAATTTCTCCACAATTAACTGCAGATTCTTCGAATCGCGTACATTTTCCAATAAATTTCGGAAATTCTCCAATTGTTTAGGTGGAAATTTGCCACCGCCGTCGCCATTATTGGTAATGAGTTTTTCGAAAATGTTTTGAAAAGTCTGTTTCTGCACGCTGGAGATGCCGGTCAGCGCCGCCACACTGTTCAGCGCTGCAACGGCGGCTGTGGAGGTGGCAATCGACGCCGCAGTTGGCGATGCGGGAGCTGATGAAGTGGCGCTAACATTATTAACCGTTGGCGCTGGTGAGGCGGTGGCGCGTGAGTTGATTAGTGTGGGTGGTGGTGTGGTTTTTATATCCATTTTTTGTTTTTTATTTTTTCTTTTTTTCGTAATTTACTTTTTAATGCAGTTCACTGGTTTGTTACAACGCACAAAATTAATTTCGTTCAATTAATTTGCATTTTGTTGATTTTTCACACAAAATTTTTAAAATCGTTTTTTTGTACGCATAAACTAATTTCACAATTTTTGTTTTATTAAATTTTATATTTTTTACAATTATTCACTGTTTGCTATTTATTTTCGAAAGCGCACAAAACTATGAAAGCTCACTTTAAAAGCTGCACTGCAGTGTTTATTTAAGTCAGCCGCTTACGATATACCGACGCTTATCTGACTCAACTCAAGCACTATATTCTTCTTCTCCGTTTTTTAGTGTACTTTGAATGTCAAACCGTAGAAATTCCGTAACCGTCAAATCCCAATTTGACACTAACGCGCCGTCGTTACCTCGTTTGGCGTATGAATGACGCGCGTTATTGAACCGTAAAATCAGGTAGCCGGAGCTCGAGTGCAACTGTGTAGTACGCGGCCACAATCCAAAGGTGGCAATAAACAAACGGCAAAGACTCAAGCGGCCGTTCGTTCAGGTTGCCTAGGTTGACGCGCTTTGTTTACGAGTGTATGTTTTGCTGCCTACCGTTTGCCAGGTTGCGTAGCTGCTGCTTGGTCTGTCGGCTGCTTGGATAGTTGGTTGGTTGGCTCGCTGACTGATGGTTTAGTTTGTTGTAAGTGTGAGACGTGCAACAAATTTATGCGCTCATAAATCGAATTGGGAAACTGGTTTTGAGGGTTGAGTGGTGTTGTGCCACCTTACAGCACACATACATGCATATATGCATACATGCACACACATACCGACAACTGTGGCTATAAAGGTGCTTGCATACGAGCTAATTGTATGGCAAAGTGGTTTTGTTTGCTTTGCGGGTTGCTGAAATGTTGGAAAGGCGGAGCTTAACTCAAATATAGCTCTCATCAACACACTGAGGGATTTTTCAATATGAGAGTGGCAGTGCGTAGAGGGAAAAAGGATATTTACTGTTGAGTCTCTGCAGGCTGAGTAGGGAAATGAGACTGTTTTGTTTTCGGATTTTGAGATTTGGACGAAAAATTCCGACCGAAAACCGTAAAGTTACAAATAAGTTTGAAATCCTTATCAAATTCCTTTTTGGAATGTTTTCAGGGACGTTTAATATTTTAGCAGTGTAAAAATGACTTCCATGGACAGGCAGCTAGCGGCTTTTAGTCCATTGGGACCGAAGAAATCTTCGCAGAACCCTGAGCTCATACATATATATGCATATATAAGATTTTTACGATTTCTAGTTGAGCTCCTTCTTCGTTTTGTGGTGTGACTCTGAATGACCTGCAGATCATTACAAGACGTCTCTAAAAAGCATGTCCGAAATACACTCGGATGAGTTTTCTCTAATTCTTATCTTACCTGGTCAGTGTTCGAATCCATGACCTTCCACGTAGAAGTAAGCGCTGGATTTTTGAGAACTTCTAAGGAATAGAGCAATAAAAAGGAGTTTTAAGGAGGAACGAATTTAGGAATAACCAAATTTTAAAGTCTACTCCAACAGTAGCATTTCGTGTCTGTCTAAAGGTAAGATGTTTGATTTCTTGAGTTTGAGTTTTGCCTTCGCGGTCCTACCGCATTCATTGGTACAGGTCGAGCTTTGCTGAGTTTTCATATGGAGACAGAGATCGTTCCGAGTTTCAGATGAAGTACGGCTACGAATATTTCCAAACCAAACGAGAATTAAGGATCTCTAATAAATTGGCCACAGCCTCATTACCCTGAGACGCTAAATATTCAGACACATTCTCCGAAGTGAACTTTTACTAGACTTGATAATGGTGTTTTAAAAGTAGTCTCCCAGCCACTTCCCTGCTAATATTCTTTCACGACAACACTGACAAGAAAGTTTATGGAAGATTTGAAGTCGACACTTAGCATTTCCCTCAGTATTCGTTGCTTAATACTGCAGTGAAAGCAGACCTGAAGAATACTTTTTAATAAGCTCGATACACTTAACCTAATCCCTCATACTCCTTCAGATATTTTTCACTAGCGCAATCCCTCTACTATACATTGCGTTTCATCCTCATCGCACAGTCGATATAGCGCCGGATCTGTCCAGATTATCTTACTCATTTTTATTGTTCTAGTGACAAAATGTGATTTTCGACCGAGCCCCTCCTCCAATTTGTGGTAGACGTCTTGATGTTGGAATGGAGTTTATCCGAACGGCTGTCATGAATACACGCGGAGAGCTTGACATTCTCTGCCGAGGAGCAACCGCAATTAAAAAAAATAATTTTTTACAATTTTGAATGTTGGTCGAACCAAGACTTGAGCCCTGCTCTTCAGTACGTTTCTGTTCGATATAAACCAGCTTTGAGAACTTTTGAATTTATGTTTTGCTATTTTTTTCGCCAGGCATTTGTCTCAATCAGCTCGACTCGATAGAGAAATTTTAATGGACAAATTAATTAAAAACTATTTTGAAACAAATTCATACACAAATGTATACGTTCGAATTTTATGCCTCCGAATTTGTAAAAAATATTGGGAAATTTTCACTCTTCTATCGTATGGCGAATAATGCTTAATGCAAAGAGCTTTCATTAACTGAGAAACTCAACTCACTCTCCCTCTCCTTCTCTATCTCCCTCATACATGAATCCTCTACTTATTAGTACTTACGCCGATATTATTCAAACCGACCCTTTCGGAAGGCAATGATGAGGCAGGCAGTGGCGCTACATCATATACATACATATGTACATACATACATAGCGTTGTGTGAGCGTAACGGTGTGCAATGCAACTGCTGTAATGGAAGAGAGTAAATTTTATGAGGATACAAAAACACTTAATCACATAAATCAGCAAAGTAAGCGATGGTGTGATGGTGCGATGGTGGAGAGCATGATGAGGCAATTGAGTGGATGGAAAAGAATAGAATGCGGAAGGAAGCGATGAGCATGAATGATACAAACATACGCACAGCATCATGGAAGCTCGGACTTGTTAAATAGTAGTGCAGGGCTATTGTGCATCCTGCTCTCGCACACACGCATGCACACACACTCACTCATAGATATAGAAATCAACTGTGATTTTGATGTAGCGCCATCAGAGCAACAACAAAAACATCAGTAATAACAACGAAAGCAGTGGCAATAACGACAGCAAAACATTATGGCAGGATAAACAGCTAAATATATATGTATGTATGTATCTATGTGTGCCTGCATGTGTTCATAGGATTTGTTCGAGTTCACAATGGTTCAACGCAGGACTCCTGGACTTAGTTTGCTTATCTCCCAAAGTGCGTACGCTGAGTGTGTGCATGTGTTTGTGTGTTTGTGTGTGGGCTTGTGTTTGTGTGCGGCTTAAAAGGCACTTAATTTTGTTATTGTGCAATAAACGATAAACGAGCAACGAGTTGGCCAAGAGACGAGACAAGATAATTGAGATATTTGCACACCGTTTAGAAGGAAGCATACATTTAGGCGTCGAGACAAAAGCGGGTGCCGGAGAATAAATCGGCACAATACGGAGAAGATGTTGAAGAGGAGAGGAGGTATGATTTTCAAAAGCAAGCAGAAATAAATACACGCAAGCAGATAGACAGACGAACGGCCAGACGGACATACCACCAGAGAGGCAAAACTAAGCGAATATGAAAGAGTAGGATGAGCGAACCATAGCTGTGCAGAGTGAAATATCATATTATGTATATGCATGTATGTTGATGCATGAGCTATGGATATAAATATAAATGTATGTATCTCTGTACACTGTGTGTGTTGTCGCTTCGAATTGAATTGAATGCCTGGTTTTTGGTGCAATTACCGAAAGGGGATGTTTGTGGGCAACCGCTGTTGTTTTTATTGCTTGATTGGAAAGATGAAAAGCACGGAGAGCAAAAAAAAAACATAAACAGACAACAACAAACCAGAAGAAAAACAAAAAACAAACAGACCAAAAGAAATAAATGAAAAGGATGACAGCAAATGGATGAAGAAAACGGAAATAAAAACACTGCAACATGGCCGACTAAAAATGCTACTGTATTTTTCTTTACCGTTATGATTGCATACAACTTACACGCAATCACATTAAATCGGTATTCGTGGATATCAGAATGCGCGCGTTTGTGGTAAATATTTTTACTTTATCCCGCACATCCTTTAAGCTTACGTATGTATATACATATGCATGAATCTATGTACGATTGTTTGCATTCACCTCAATACAATTCAATTCAATTCGATTCACCTCAATTCAATTGAACTCTTCTTAGTTGCCCGTCTCCAGTAAGCGGCATTAAACAAAAAAAAAAAAAAACTATAAATATATACAACAAAAAAGTTGTTTGCGAGAAAAAGCGGAAAAATTGTAGTTGCAATGAGATTTTCAAAAGGAAATATCGCCTTGCGGGAACTGCATGCCAGGATATTGGTTAATTCCATCAAATGTTTATACTTCTAACTGTATTTCTTGATTGTGCGATTGAGAAGGCGATGCGCTGCGATATATGCAACCGAGTTGCACATAAATGTATGGAGAATTATTTATGGAATTTCAAAAAAAAAAAAAAAAAAAAATTAAAAAAATTAGACATCAATTATTTCTACTGATAAGAAACTTTGGTGGTGCAAGTTTGCGGTCTCCATTTATTACCTTCTTCGAAAAAATTTATATTTTCTAGTTATCAAGAAACAGTTTCTGTCTCAGGACTTCAGGTTGGGGTTGATCTATATTTCGTATAAGTTATGGAAAAATTAATAGTAGCTTCTGGGAAAAACTTAAGAGCCATTTAATCAAAAATTTCAAAGGATGCCTTGAAAATTGTTTGTAATTTGAATTTTTAAGCACAATTTTGAAACCCTTCACTTTATAAGAAACAATTAACCCAAAAACGTTTTTCCAAAAAAAGTTTCTAAATTTTTCCACTACGACGTACTGTTTCTGTAAACGTTGCAAAATGTTCAATTGTGATTTTGAAGCAACTCCTTCTCATCTTTTCACTCATTATCCATACAGTAAATATTTATTTTACATAAATTTATTTCCAAGTTGCGTCACTTCAGACTGAAAAAATACGCCGAAAAAGTGACGCTTAACATCAAAAATAATCCTTCAATTTCCTTTGCTCAACGAGGATGCCGCTGATAATAACGTGAGCAGCAAGCATCATCTGGCAACACTAGCCGCCTTTTGTTTACGAATTTTGTTGAGAGATCGTCACAATGCCGTTCATCAACGACTCATATACCCGATCTATTGAGCAGATTCAAGTTGCCCAGAACCCACAGGAGTTGTATCTTGATCGTTTTATTTGAATTATTATTATTTGTTTCTGTAAAAAATGCAATTAACACAATAAATATCGACGACTGAGAGTCCACGACGCTTGAAATGCTGTCAAACAGTTGATTTTATTTTCAGCAAAAATTGTTGATAATCTTCGTGGAACAAAAAATTCATTTGAGTTCCATCAAACGCCATGAAACTTCTTCTATTAGTCCAGCGTTTGCGCCAAAACTATTATTGCGCAATATTTTTTTTTTACAAAACCAAATCGCTATCGGTGAGTGTTAGCTGTTTATGCCTGCTCAAAAATTAACCGAGAAAGGTGTTGCACGTTGTTGGTTCCAATGAGACAACGCTCATGTCACACTGCAAATGAAACTTTTCAGTTTCTGCAATAAATCCGAATGTCTGATGTTAAAAATAAATTACCTTCACTGGTCGCCTAAATCTTCAGATTTGACTTCCCTTAAATACATATTTGTTGTGAGGTTATTTAAAAAGCGAAGCGTACTCCAGCAATTCTTGGAACATGGGAAACTCATAAGCAATTATTTGCGCCGAAATCATCGCTCTAACGCCCGCGAAGCGTAAAAAAATAATGGAAATGCTATTTCATTTGAATAAAAACTAACCCGAAATCTCGTTTAGAGTTTTTTTTTTTAACAATAAAACCAAAGGTTGCTGCGACTTTCGGCATATTGTTATATTTAGATATTATAAAGGGTTTTCCAACAAGAGGTGTTATTTTGATTAACCTCTTATTCCGTTAGATGTCGATTTCAAGCTGTGATTTTTTGACATTTGACAAGTGAAACCTGCGTCATTAATAAAAATAGAATAATTCAAGTTCAATTTCATCGCAAACTCATTTTACCTGATGAGACCCAATTTCACTTCGATGGCGGTTACGGCAAGAAGCAAAACTGGAGCATCTGGACTCGGGAAACCCACGATTTATTATTGAAAATCCATTCTCAATGGTTAGGCATTACTTTTTCGAAAATGAGGCTGGTGATGGAAAATTTCATAAAAAGTATTCGATGCTGTAAGCGCAGCCCTGGCGGTATTTGGCTAGCATATCTTCTTTATTACAATGAGCTGAACATCCGATTAATTATCTGAAAGAACGGAATTTTTCTTTGAGCATCAGAATGACACCTCATTTTGCAAATCTCTGTAGTTGGATGATGAACAAGGTCATAGGTAAAAGATGCGAAAAGTCTTTATTATGTTACAGTTCAGCCTACATATGTGCTTGCATGTGAATACAATATTTGGTGGTCTCACATATTACAGTAGCTCCGCATCAGTTCTAGTACGAGATTAGTCGTTTTTTCCCTGCTCAAAGTCTTCTATGAAAATTCGAATTTTAATGCGCAGAAATGAGCAAAGAAGTGAAACTAACATTATGCAATAAACATACCTATGCGAAACGTATGAGATAGGACGTTTGAATTCAAATCATACCAGTTTAGAATATAATGATTTCTGCTTTCTGATCCATTTCACAAATAATGTTTTTCCGAATAAATAAGTTCGTGGTCCGTTCATGATCCGAACTTCAAGTAAATCTCGCAACAGTTATTAATAGTTCTTCTCCATGGATTTCTTGAATTTCTAGAATTATTGGATAAACACTAATTTCCGTGCGGAGCATCTAATCGAAATATTTCGAAAGTTTCTAGAAAAGAATTTATATGGCCGAAAATTTGCAAAGAAACTACGGTTGTCAAAAAAGTTCCCTCGATGGCTCTACAGTCGGTTGATATAAAATAATCGTGGATGCTGCTGTTATTTGAAAGAAATGCGGAATTTCATATTGATAATAATTTCTATTAACATTTTCTTAAAATAAAATAAAAAAAAATTTCCTGGCAGCTCTGTGAAAATTATGAAAATATTTTATTTTTTCAAGTTAAATTATAATATTTTGTATTAAACTTTTCATATATGAACTGTTTGAGCTACCCTGGCTAAAGATACTCTACGAAATAATCGTTTTTCTGTACTCATTAGAGAATAAGTGTTGGGTATTGAGAGATATTAAAACATAAAAATTAATTATTTTATTCCAACTCATAAAGGACACAGAAATCTTGCGAAAAATTCCAAGTATCGTTTCGAAATCAACGATAAAAAAAATTATAAAAAATAATTTTAAAACCTTCTTCTTCTTAAAATACTAAATATGTAATTGCAATGTGCAAAATTAACTCAATATTTTTTGTATTGTGCTATTTTTTTGAAAATATTGATGAAAAATCTAAGTTCTTCCACTCAAAATTTTAACTTATATCGATTTGTATTATTAGAGCTATTCTCATTGTTACTGGTAAAGTAAATTTTGTTACTTTTTTAACATCCGAAATTGAATTTAGTATTCTGCTGAACCGGTTACAATGTTTGAAAAAACTTTGGCAGCACTGCTTTTCTCGTCCTTGTCAAATTACATTTGACAGTTGGTAAAGTGAAAAAGAAGATTATTTATTTATTAAATGATATACATATATTTGAACCTAATTTTGGAAAATATGCCTAAGCGACAAAAAGGCGGAATGAATTAATAGGGTAATTTTTTCTCGCAAACTTCTTAGCATACGCCTTTTTATACTTTTTTCTTTATCTGGAATGAATTCCAGGTCTGAAATATGCCTACCCATTTTGGTTTTTTATTTTTTCTCAAACTAACAACACAAAATCAAACAGTCGATTTTTTGTTACCTCCTATTTCGCTGGTAACATAATTTACAGGGTGACAGTGAACTCAGAATACGAAATAGTAACAAAATTTACTGAATGGTAAATTTGAATACCCAGGTAAATTTTGTTACCTCGACAGAATAGGCCTGTACATATTAAATAATCGACGCTTTCTTCCTCCGTTTTGTGGTGTGCGCTCTAATTTTTTTCCAACAAAAAGAGGAACCTAATATTTATTCTAAGGCGCCACCGAAGCTTTTTGTTTCATGCCAAAAATACATTGGAAGGGCTTGACATTCCTTGGAGAGCATACTTTTGTCTTTATTATAAGAAAAACTTCAATACAAATTATTTGGCCATGAAATCGACCAGAAGACGATCTATACAATTAAAGCATGGTCGCAAGATTTTTGGAAGACAGACCGAAATGAAGAATTATAGTAGCAGCAAAGAATTCTGCTTGAAAGATACTAGAGAACATAATCTTAATTTTTTCTTATCGACTCTTTATAGTTGAAATAAAAGGTGCACATCGGTTGACTAGAAGTCTCAATTTGAAGCTCTATTTCGGTGGTGGTTCATTAAATGTATGCGGCATAATTAGCGCTCAATATATCCATTTACTTCATTTACAGAAAAACTGACAGATTCATTTAATGACAGTCAGTATTTCTAGACCACAGTATCATATAAAGCTTCTAAGTTCTGAGTGATTATGGAAGTGACACACCCAATACTCCACGAAAGAACAGCTTCAACAATTAAAATAGTAATCCGTACTTAGGACGCTTTGAGTCAACAAAGTTTGACTTAATATCAAACAGGCGTTTTCAGTCGGTTTAGAAGAATCTAGACGCTACACTTTATTAGTAAGTCTTGAGTAACTCTTTCTTATTGATCAGAATTTATGTGATTCGTTCAAGTTTTTCGCCAATTTTTAACCCTATAACTCGAATAGTAAATTTTCCAATAAGTTTTTAAATCACACAAAATTTTCGATAATTTTATAATTTTTTTTTAAATCTTCGTAATGCATAATGAACATTTATTACGTTTGGAAAATGTTTTACACCATGGAAATATCGAGTAGGTGGAGGTTAAACACTAATTTTTATTGAACTATCGCGGAAGGGATCACAAAAATTGCTAACAGGGACGAATAAAAAAAAATATTATATGATTATAGGTACGGAATAAAAAATATTAAGTTTTTTCCACCATGTTTCAATTGAATAATAAATTTTTGCTAAGAACGAATGTAAAAAAGGAATTTGGTGTTGCAATGTTCATGTAAAAGCAACCAGAAAAGAACTCACTCAACTAAATTTAAAAATTCTCGGTTTTTTTAAAATATACGAGTATAAAATAATTAACGTTTTGTAATCGCTTTCGGCCAGTTTGTGTTTTTGCATTAACCCGAAAAAAGGAGAGAAATCCAGTTTATACTAATCCGCTTCTGAACATATGATGCTTTTTTATGATGAACTCGCTTGGGTTGACATTCCCTGCTGAGAGACGACCGTAATTACAAAAATTAATTTATTTGTTTCTTTAAATTAATTTTCCATAATATTTGGATCTGGATCTGGTCTGGCCAGTCCACGAGGCCGTGATATTCTACATTATAGTACGAGTTTTGGTTAAGGAAAATTGGAACGTGAAGGCATGATTTTCCAAAAACTGCAAAAGATGGAAATTTCCAATTTTTTGCTAACCACATTTAGTTACTTACATGTAAATGTTTTGAAAAAAATTAAATTAATTAATTATAATATTTTTTTTTAATTAGTAGTTTTTTTTAGAGATAATCCTAAAAATAATTTATTTTCCTTCAGCGCAAACTAAAATAATATTTTTGGTATCAGTAATAAGCTGTATCTACCCACTGTTCCTGATAACGAAGTGGAGGGGAATTAATTATTAATTACGAAATCAGTAAATAGGCAAATAATTTAATTTAATTTTTCTGCTCTACGTATTTACCTTTCTTTATTAAGCCTTACCCACTTGCCTAATGATAAATTTATTCGTATACACATTCTCTTGCATGTATGTATGTATCTACATACATATATTGACAAAAATCACTTTTGCTAAAATTCCCAATATTTCACAAAAATACCCAAAAAATACCACTGCCTGCAACTACTGCATGTAAATACGAGTGAGCCATGATACCAACGGAGGTGTGGCCTAGAACCCGTCTCATACAGGTACACTACATACAACTGCTCGCGTTGTACGCCATGAGTATTTCTGCTCACAGCCAATGAGCGCGCTTGCGCACAACCAGCCACCAACAACAAACACAAGCAACAAAAATAACAATAATATAGAGCAGAGGCAATGGACAAACAACACTTGGTTACTCTTCTCTGCTCTGCACTGGTCTGCACTGCTCACCTCTCCCCTGCTCTGCTCACCTATCCACTCATTGCTTTATTGTTTTTTAATGAGTTTGAGTTGATGAAGAAATTTAATTTATGTGACTACCCAATGTCAAACCAATCCCGTGTAGGTGGGAACTTGCTTACAGTGATGCTACATACAGCATTTAGTCCAATAGAGCAAGAGAGAGGCAGCAACCAACCACCCACACAAAAAAAAAAACAACTTTCAAGCGGGCGAATAGACTCACTGATGATGTTGCTGCCGCTAAATGGACACACGAGGATGCTTTGGTCATCATTCAAGTTTAATGAAAAACGTTCACGGCAAGTCAAAGGAGCGGACAATGATGAAGTGGTGTGTTGGAGTGCATGTGGACTACATGTGGCTGTGTGTGCGTTGTGTGTGTGTGTGTGTGTGTGTGTGGGCAAGTGTAGAGTAATCAATGTGAGTGGTGGGCAGGATGCTATGATGAATGTCTGTCTATTTTTTTATGTATGATTGTATGTATGTGTGTATGTGTGTTTTTGAAATGGGCACTGGAAATTAAATAACGTGTTGTTGCTATCGA